CTAAAGCACCAGAATTTCTTGTGCTCTGTTTTAAGCATCTAGAATATCATTTGTAGCCATACAGAGAGTAAAAAGGTGAATTACATAATGAAATCAAAATTACAACAGCACATCATAAACAACCACAAAAATTCAGACAAAAGGGCGAATGTCACCTATCCGAAGATTGGCAGTTTTAACTCTAAACGTGTGCAATTCAAGAAAAAGTAGGCCTACAGGATATTACATGTAAATTACACAAGAGGCGTGCCAGTGTCAGTATTCCGTTTTGGTGGAGACATACTTTAACATAATAACTCATTCATATTTTTAAAAACAATAGGAACAGCATCAAATTAGATGACATTACGCTATAATATTAACACAAAAACAAATTAAAACACAACAAAGGGGGGAAAATATTTGACAAACAGTAATATAAATTGTACGTAATGTTATTTTCTCCGCATGAAAACAACTACACATGGACACCTTGAAGATAATCAGAATACATGTCTAATATGTCCTGAAGTAGCTTTTTCGCAGCCCCCAAAAAACGCCAAAAATCACGGCCACGACAAACGCAAATGCTAGCACAGTATGGTGTCAAACTTACACTTCTCTGTGTGTCGCACCATTCCAAAGGTTAAAGTTCATGTACCAATGACTAAAGGTCATGGCCATTGTAGCATCAGCACCATTAGAAGTGAGTATTGTGAAAGATGTCACTTTAGAAGTTGTGCATTTAGTGTGGATATTCATGTGTATCTATAGAGAGGAAAAGAGAAGATACGTGGCCATACACCGTGTAATTTGGAAGTGCTTTTTTTTATCTTGTACACAAACATCAGTACTCAAACACCTTGATGTTCATAAAAAACAGTACTCAAACACCTTGATGTGCACAGAAACCATTATTCAAACACCTTGATGTTCACAGAAATCAGTACTCAAACACCTTGATGTACACAGAAATCAGCACTCAAACACCTTGATGTACACAGAAATCAGTACTCAAACACATTGATGTAATAATAATAATAATAATAATAATAATGAAGATAATTTCTATAGCACCCACTCCCATGTAAACTAAACACAGCTCTAGGCGCTTTACATAAATGCATGTACGAACAACATTCATGCACTCACACACACACACACTCACACAGCCAAACACACATCTACTTGCTAATCACATGCGCACGCTTACACATTGTTACGAAGTGAGCACATACAAATACTTTATAAAAATGCAATGCAATTCGCAAAATACATAAAAATGGATACTTAATCATTTACATAACATTGTACCGACATAAAAATGATGTAATTAAATGTGACTTTTAAGACATTTTAAATTTAGACTCAGATGTTGTATGTCTCAAGGGTTGGGGAAGAGAGTTCCAAACTGATGGAGCAAGGTGGGCAAATGATCTTTCAGCCTACACATACATCAGTACTCAAACTAGCATCTGCGTTTGTTGCTATTTTTTGTCCAAAAGTTGCCATAAATTTTCAAGCTTTCAACTCTCTGTAGCGACATATATATATATATATATATATATATATATATAATATATATATCAATATGTTGATAGAGGTAACTTAACCTAAAGCACCAGAATTTCTTGTGGTGCTCTGATTTAAGCATCCAGAATATCATTTGTAGCCACACATAGTGTAAAAACGTGAAAAATAAAGGTTTCACAACAGAATAAAGTCAAAATTAGAACAGCACATGAACAACCACAAAAATGAACAAGAAATAAGGGCGCGTGTCCACTTATCCGAAGCGTATATATGTGTGTGTGTGTCATGACGCGGTGGAATCAGGCGCTCATCAATTTTTGTGCATGGGGAGATATTGGTATCATTGAGAAGCTTGTTCATTTATCTTGTTTTTGATGAAAAAAATACCCATCTATCTTGAGCAGAAGTGGAGATATTTGTGATTGAAAGAGGTAATTTCACTTGGTTTCTGCTGTAAAATATAGTGAGAAAATGGCTGCCAAAGTTTGGTAACTTCAATAGCCAAAGAGTCCTTGAAAACAGAAAAATTACATATTTCGAGCTTTTAATCAACGTTTTTCAATAATTCACATTTAAATGTGTTTTTATTTGGACATAAAAAATAAACAACTTTAATCAACTATAAATATTTTATTTTGATTTATTTTGGAGGCATGAGTGGTTTGTTGTTAGCTTGGGTGACAAGATAAAGGAATTTGGACCTTGCTAGTGTGTAGCTGTGAGATTATTTTGAGAACCATTACCTCAAGGCCACCTTCGCTTCAACCAAAGATACTCCACATTGGAGTATCTTTGCTTCAATGTTCTTCATTCGCAACTTTTAAAAAAGATTTTGACCCCTTTTCGAGCATGAATGATCTGAAATGTAGACAAATCCGATTGGTAAAACGGAGTAGAAACGGTAACTTCTAGCTGACTTCAAGCTTGTTTACGTAAACAGCTGACTGTGTGGGCGTGCCCTGCTAGCTGTTATCGTCTGTTGATCTTTCAGTTTTACACTTGGGTTGACTTAAAAAATTCGTTTTTATTTTTATTGTGTTTTAATGCTTTTAAAAGATTAAGTAACCTTCTTCTAGATCTCTCAAAGCGGACTCCTTACCAAGGTGGTCTGTGTGCATGTGTGTGTATGAGTGTATGTGTGTTGGGGGTGTTTGTATATGTGTGTATGTGCGTGTGTGTGTTTGTGTGTGTGTGTGCTCTTGTGTGTTTATGGTAGCCTACTATTGCAAACGTATAACTAGGTAGCGCAAACACGGCACGTAAGCTGACTCGCGGCCTTCTGAGCGTGTGGTTTCGGTAAAATGGGGGTAAAATCTGTTTCTTTGCTCTTTTGCTATAAACACCAAATGCTGAACACTTTGAAAACGTTCAGATTTCCTTCTTTACAATAGTGTAAGTTGTTTGTATATTATAATCGGAGTATGAGCTGGAGAATGGCCGTGGAAATGGAAGCCCCTCGCTGTAGGAATGTGAGGCGGTCGGTCAAAAATCGACACTCATGCATTCGAATGCTTTGCACAAAGATTGATGAATAAATACCGTCTTTTCATTGGTGGAGAACTGTACATCTGTAAGTGTGGTTTCCCGCGGTTATTACTTTTGGCCGTTGGCGTTTGGATAGAAACCTTGAAAAAAAGCGTCTAAGTTTTCAAAGATCATTTTTAACATGAAAAGTGTAAAATAGCAGCTAAAAATGGGTACCAATAGAAAGAACAGTTTTTTTTCTATTAGAATAAAGTCGTCGACTTGGAATTATTTTGCATGAATCCTTCTGAGAAACTACCGGGAACACTAAGTACACTACAGTATTGAGCCGGCTGGTGCCCGAAACAACGCCCGGTGTAGTTTTTATTGAAATAACGACAGATCATCGTGTTTGAGGCAATACAACACTGATTTGTAACGATCTCACAGTCTGAAAAATTAGGCTTCATTTCTTTGTTATAATGATTGTACTCTGTTAATGTAGAGATGTTTGGTGCACTTGGTACTCTTTTACTATCTGTTAAACGTGGGTTTCCAGCCAGTTAATGACTTCAGCAATATTTTATTATTTTGTTAAATTGAAACGGCTGCCATTCTCTTAAACATTGACTGAGAGGTAAAAGTATGGTACCAAAATTCTCAGGAGAAACAGGCCTTTCATATGATTTGACATACAGCTACTTTGAAAATTTAGTATCTGATACCTAGTAATGCTAATGTTTTGTTGCATTTGATGTGAAGTCCATTCTCGTGAAAATGTTTTGCCCATAAGTTTTTTCTCTGTCCATGAATAGTTTTCTACGTCTGTATGTTACCTTGCAGTCGCATTGCCAAGATAACTGCTAAATTTCAAGTCTCTATCTCAATTCTAAAACCCCCATTGCTAAGGAAACATGTTGCTCAACTTCGAAGGCCGTTTTCTCCTTTTCGTGTTTCCTTACCTCGCACAATTAAAAGTTCTGAATTATCGTCAAATATGGTCATATTTACTTCATTCTTGTTTTAAATTGTAGGGAAAAGGTGATAGTTTTTTTAAATAATGAAACTCAGTTTTGAAATTTCCTTCATATGACTGATATTGACCGGCAGGGACACATATATACATATATGGGAACAGCATCAAATTAAGTGACAAAAAAAAAGAGAAAAACAACACATCAGAGCAATAACAAGGAAAGGAAAAAAAAAAATGAACACATCAACAAATTAAAACACAACAAACAATAAAAAAAAAAGAAGAGAAAAAAAAAATTTTCATGGAAAAAATTAAATTCACCGAACAAGTGAAAGCAAATCAACATAGTCATCTTATCAAATACAGGCCAAGAGCATAATCCATAACTTTCTGAATGCGCAGCTTTTTATTTGAAAGCAATATTCCAAATTTTGTATGAGATATGATATTTCTACTGGGTTCGATTACACCCTTTTACTGATGCAAGACCGCAAGAACCAATTCACTCGTTTTTTGCCAAACTGATGCTTTGACATAGTGAAACTAGATGCTTTTGTTTCCTAAACCCTTTCCAAGATTTCAATAACAATAATAAGTACTTAAGAATGACGGAACATGTTAAAACGAAACAAAAGTGAGGCACCCCATCATAGCTGATATATCGCGATACGTCCGGAAGGGGTGCAGACCTGCGTCAATATTTCTACGATACGTTCGGAAAGAATTAAAAACTAAAACAATCTAAAAATTAAACTGAAGTAGCAAACAGGCTCTAAAAACATAGCCTTAGAAAAAAGACATTTAAAAAAACTGTATTCCAATTTATATATAATATTAATATACGGAAATGAGTCAGAAGTAGCTTATAGGCTGTAAATTGTAAAAACATAGAAATATGACATGAAAAAAGATTAATACAAAAAGGCTGAATCTTGAGAACAAATCAACGCGGTGTCAACAAGAGAGAAAGAGACGAACGAAGCGGAGCGGAACTGAAAATAAACTTTCTTTTTTAAATTAAAGAGGTTCAGTTCCTTTTCTTTCATTCTTTTTTTCAAGTTTTATTCCTCGTATTTTTTATTTTTTAAAAAACTTTATTCCCGGCGGTGTCTTTTTTCCCTTTTTTGGGGGGAAAAATGCCAAAATCACGGCAAACGCAAATGCTAGCTCAAACACCTTGATGTACACAGAAATCATTATTCAAACACCTTGATGTACACAGAAATCATTATTCAAACACCCTGATGTACACAGAAATCATTATTCAAACACCTTGATGTACACAGAAATCATTATTCAAACACCTTGATGTACACAGAATTCATTATTCAAACACCTTGATGTACACAGAAATCATTATTCAAACACCCTGATGTACACAGAAATCATTATTCAAACACCTTGATGTACACAGAATTCATTATTCAAACACTCTGATGTAAACAGAAATCATAACCAAACAGCCTGATGTACACAGAAATCAGTACTCAAACACCCTGATGTACACGGAAATCATTACTCAAACACCCTGATGTACACAGAAATCATTACTCAAACACCCTGATGTACACAGACAACCGCCTACAAAAGCTTTTACACTTACATCTGACAGGCACTGACAACTTTGAAATTTTTCTCACAAGACTTCTATGTTCAAAGCCCTTCTCCTGATTTCTTTAATAACATCTCTCACAGCAGAGACTGAGTATGGCTGCCTTCAGCAGTGACTGTCCATTCCTGAATGCTGTGTGTGTGCGTGTGTACAATATATATATGCACAACACATATATCTATTGTGTTTTAACACTTGGTTAATAAGTCGTCCTGTATTCAACGTAGAGATTTTAAAAAGCTATGTATGTACAACTGTGTGGTAAAAAGCAAACTTTTGTTCAAATTTGTAAACTGGTTGGTGATTTTTTATTTTATCACATAATCCACACATGCAAAAGTCCATCCCCATGTGGGAACAAAAAAGAAAAAGAAGTCATCCTTGATTACAGATTAGTGTGAGTTTCGGCAAGTTGGACAGTGGTAATTCACAACTATTGCTATTCCCTTTCCCATTCTCTGCAAACTGTCATCACATTGCACATGCAACCAAGCTTTGCAGCCTATGCATTCAATCCAGCTGACTGCAGAATTTTCTGAAGTTTTACAATCATGACTGTAACAAACTGAGCAGACATTTACCAAGACAGAGGAAAGGGCTTCTCTAACCTTCTGTTTATCTTGAAGGTCTGGTTTCTCTTTTCTTTTCGGTACTTCAAAGCGTACCTGTGGATCTGACTTTTTATTCGATGCTAACTTTTCTTTTCTCTCAAAACATGATATACTTGTACCTTTTTGTTTGACTTTTAACATACCCTTGGCCTTATTCAGTACACTCAGCATACCATTTCGCATATCTTGATGAATATTGGCATCATCAACATTTCGCATAAATTCAAGTACACTGAAAAGGACACTTTCTGAGGCTTGCAGTTGTTTTTCTCTGTCAACACTCCGCTCTTCTAGTTTGTTACAACACAGAACAGACTCAAACAAGTCGGCCTCCTGTACCTCAGTTTCATCAGAGCTTTGCACACATTCGGTTTCATCTGGAGGTTCCAGATTCATGTGGACTGCGTGAATGTGTTTACATATAACACATTTTAAAAGAAAATCTGAACAGGTACAGGTGTACATGTGGATACAAATATGACAAATTTCACAAACCAGTTCACAAGAACACTCTTCACAGTCTGTTCTTTGGACAAAGTGCGAACGACCAGGCTGTGTGGAAGATGGTAAAGTCCAGCCCTCTTGATCTTCAGCATTAACTCGTTTTATACCTGTTAGGGTCATGCTGACAGCTCTATTGTGTCTGTTTCTGATGGCAGTGATACAACTGGTAACTTTTCCTTTTTCTTGTTTAAGTAATTGCTCAACAGCTTTATCTCTAGCTATCTTCAGTAGTATTACCAAAAGCTCATCAATACGCCTGTTTCCTCGGTTTTCCATGTACTTGGTTTTCAGTAAGTGGTGAAAAGATTCTGCAAACATATTTGCATTTGCCAGAGCTCCAATACGGTAGCAACCAGCCCAAAATGCAGGTTTGTTGTCCTCACAGTAATTTTCATGAAAGTATGCGTAAAATTTTGGACAGGATATTTGCCAGTCACTCAGAGCGAACTGGAGCAGAGCTCGAAACTCAGATCCCAGTATTTCGGTCTGTAACATTTTTAAAAGATTATATGTGTGAAGGCGACGTTCAGAGTCCTTGCCAAAACATTCTCCGAGTTGTTTACGCCATGCTTTATCAACATGCCAAGAGCAGTAGAGTCTCTTCTTTGGTGGTTGTTCAAATGCACTGCACCAGGCATTATAAAAATTATTTGTGAGGTCACTCATAAATACATCTGGCACAAAGGACTGACCACAAGCATTTTTGACAACATTCAAGAAGACTGTCATTATCTTTGTTTCTTTGGTATTAGAGATGGCCCATGCTACTGGAATGGCCTCTAGGAACTCATCCAGCACCAGAATGGTAGTAAGAAAGTATTTGTATTGTGTTGTGCCATGGGTGGAGTCTACACAAATAATTCTGGTTCCATGATGTAGCATCATATTTCTTTGGAAATCGGTTTGAAAACATAGAAGAAAGTCATCTTTTCCCAGTGTCTCGTGTGAATTACCTTTTTGTTTGAAGTAAATTATTGGATTGTCAGAGTCTTCATTCAGGGCCTCCACCCACAGGTGACAGCTTTTTGCATCATCTTTATCTCTCCTTGCATGAGAAATACCATAGCTATAGTGTTGCTTTATGCTTTGAGTGTCTTGATTAATACATGTTACTTTATTCCTAATTTCATTTAAAATAGTTTTTTCATCATGCCCTTTTTTGAGTTTCCTTACAATAGTATGTTTCAGGTTCTCAGAAAGTTGTGTGAGTGCAAGTTTTTGGCATTTATCTGTGTGTTCAAGACAGAATTCAGCAGTCACACTTCCATTTACTTTATCTTCACGAGTAGTTATGTATGAGGTGCACTTAAAACCAATCTTGCATGAACCCTGCCTCTTTAAAGCTCTTTTGCGATTTTGAACATGTTCTCGTGTGCCAGAACGGTGACAGGAATAGTAGCAAACGGTCCAACCTATATCTTGCCTTTTGCCAGACAGTCGTATAAACTGTGATTTTGTCATTTTTTCTACTTGCTGCTTCCAATTAATAAATTCGTTGTGACTTGCAAAATCTTTTTTCTGGACAGCCATGACTTTGTTGTGCTTGCTGCGATAGTGTTTTATGAGACCTTGAATTGAAAAGCACCTGAACACTTTACAGTCTGAACATAGAGTTGGTGGTTTTTTGCCGTGAAGTGCTTGTTCTGTGGGGTGAACTCTTTTCTTATGACTAAATAGACCTTGTCTTGACCCAAAGCTTTTGTCACAGAATGGACAAGTCCATGTACTTTTTCTGTTTGCAGCAGAAGGTGGAGTGTTTTTACTTGTGTTTGGTGTTTCACTCCGCGAATCTGATTTTGGCATGTTTGAATCATATCTGCAGTTGTTCTCATGACTGTGTTTGCTTTTTTTGCTAATGTCGCTTGTGCCTGACTGACGAGTGCTGTTTTTCTCTGCGTTTGGTGTTTGTGGTTTGGGTTCAGTGTTGGAAATGCCAGCTTTTTGACAGTTTGTTTGTTCTGAGTTTGATGGTTGATGGTGAGGATTCTCCTTTATGTTGGCTTGGTCTTGGCTGGTTGTGTCATTGTTCGCTTTGCTTGTATGTGTGCCTGAGGTTGAGGGATGTTTTTTCTTTGGTTCCTCGGTTGAAGGCCCTGCTTTTCTTTTCTGTTTACATCTGTCATTGCTGTTGTTGCCAGTGCTTGTCTGGTGTGTGCTGTTATCAGGTAAGCGTTGCATGAGAAGACTCAAATCCAGATCTTGTGTCATGAACCATCTGATGAGCACCCTCCTCAAGTAGTTTGCATACTTGGTCGGGTGCTTCAGAAACAGTCCATCACTGGCTCTGTGGCCTGTGAGTTTCTGGAAAAAAAGAGGATCAAGGGCTGCTACAACAGCACACACACCACTAATGACACCACATACAGTACTGCACTGCTGCAGTGGGTAGTTTGAGCACATGTTGGTGCACAGGTGCTTGTGCCCAACGGCAATGGGACTGGGAGGATGCATGGGAGTAATTGTGGAGTAATCCAGGCTGACGATGCCAAAGACAGAGGTGAACTGCTCTAGGTGCTGCCTGAGGTTATTTGGAATGTCCCACCCCAGAGTATCGCAGTACAAAATATTGGGCATGTCTGTCAAATCAACAGTCACCACAGCCCAGTGGTCACCTGACTGCTGGCCAAAACTGTTAACGTAGGTCTCGACTCCAGCTTGTGTTTGAGCCCTCCCCACACTGACAATTAGGACCAGCCTCTCAACTTGGTCCCTGCTGGCAGCCAGGCGGCGCAGCTCATCTGGACTGGATGCACTGCTGCATAATCCAATGGCACAGGTCTGGCGGTCGTTGACCCGGTCCATGAGCCACACCAACTGTGATGAATACAGCCACCCGTTACAGCACAGGCTAGCCATTTCCTCCACAGAGCAACCTGCAAGTCACACAGAATAAAATTCAGATCCGGGCCCCAAATATCTCAAAAAGTCTAATCTCAAAAAGGGGTATGATGGACCAAATGGCTATACAATGTAATGTAGATTAAGTCAAAGATATCTACTGACATTAGTGGTTGAGTACACAGATCTTTAAGTTATATGTAGGAAATTGTTATCTGACACCGTAGTTTTCCGCGGGCGCTGTAACCATGGGAAAATGGATCAACTGCGCGGCGGAATTTTGATTTTTAGCAGAATTGAAAAAAAATTTGCAGCATTACTATGCTTTCAGGACAGAATTGCGAGCAAAAGAAAAAATTAAACTAAAGCGAGCTGACGACGTTAGAGTGATCACCTCTCGCTAGAAATTAGACCGCTCTTCTTTTCTTAAAAAACAAAATTGTGTGCGTTCCTGGTGAAAGGGACCAGAAGACGCATTTGCTTGAACCGAGATATCAGGCTTCAAAGGTCAAAAATAGAATTTTTGACAAAAACTAAGTTTCATTAAAAATGTGGATTCTTTAGTCATTAATATTTACAAGGACTTGAGTTTCTTTTACTTTAAAATGCTTTTAAAGATGGTTTTTAACACAAGGTATATGGCATAATCCCCAAAACTGCGTGAGAAAATTGGTCTTCCAAGTACACACTGCGGAAGATTTCTCTTGTCCATTCATAAAGTCGACCCAATCACATTGCATACCAAAATTTAGGTCATTCTCTCCACTCTTTAGTGGCGGGTAGTGCGCATAAATATCTAGAACATGTAAACAAAGCGAAGCTTTGAGCATTCATACCCTTTCTCCTTTTTGGAGAGCAAACTTGTATCACATTTTTCTGCCCTGAGCAAACCTAGATCTGTTTCTTGAAAACTCTAGCTCACGGTGGTGGTGAATTTGTTTTGAAGACGTAATATAAACACTTTGAAGCTGTTCTTTTATCTTAACTGCTTTTTAAAGTTGGTTTGAGAGTAGCGAATGTGTTGTCAGGTCGTCTTGAAGCATAGATCTATCTATCTGAAGCAGAAACAAAGGGGAAACTTAAAAGCCGATTTAATCAAAACTTTGCTTCTGTACCCTGCCTTACTTACAAAATCACCAATATCTAAAAAAAAATACTGAAGAAATCTTTAAAATTCAAAAAGCATATTGTTCAGAAATGATCTCTGTACATGAAAAAGCAAAAAAGGGATTCTTTAAAAGGCGTCTTCTCGTCCCTTTCACCAGGCACGCTCACAATTGACCTAGATTCTTGTTTGTTTCAGTAAGTTTTACGGCCCTCGCAACTGCATAAGGTCATATGAGCGTTAAGGGGTGGATGTCAGCAGACAGGTCTAAACGGGGAATCAGGCTTACTCTGCTCATCTCAATAGTACAAAATCTGCTATTGAGGCACCCCGGATATAGCAGTTCACAAGAGAGTGACAAACATACAAAAGAAATGCAGGGATAAATAACGATAGTAAGGCAGAGGAAAGAAAAAGGAGTAGTTCCCCCTCTTCCCTATGATATTCCGGCATAATGTGAGCATGACATTGATAAATCAGCCCATTTCTAATGTGCATAAGAACATGTTAATATCCTCCCCTTTGGGAATGGCCTAAAAACACTTCAGTCAGGTGCACTGCCATCTAGATTCTAATATGCATGCTTTAATTGTATAGGAGTACAGGCGAGACGAGTTTGACTTTCAGCAAAAATGAATACATTTTTTAAAGGAAAGAATGCGTTGAAAACAAATGCCGCTGAACGTCAGCTTCAGTTTACCAAAAGCACACGTGTCTAGCGGAAAACAGTTCTGTTAATTGAACTTATGTATACTGTATGTAATGTGGTACTTGTCAATGACCACACCAGAAAATCGACGGTGGATGGGCATTTCTGTATTTATGCCATCTTCACCTAGGGCTTTTCCTTCTGGGGTGTTTCTAATTCTAATTGCAATCTCTACCTCTGACTTATGAATGTTGGGACCATTGTTGTTGCTTGGTTGTGGTAGGGGTGGTCTTTTATCTTCAAATTCTCCTATATATTCTGCCCATCTTCCTAGGGCTTCTTTTTTCTCCAATAACACTGTCTTTTTTGTCTTCCAACGCCTCCTGACAATCAATGACATAGCTCAAATTGCCAGCTCACCTGATGTTGAAATTACATGCCATGTATCAGTATAAAATGGTGTCTCATTTCTTTGGGCCACACTTTTTGCTAGTATATTATGTCATGGGATTGTGTTTCGAAACAAAAATACAGATTGTATGCTGCTGATTGCTGGGCTTTTAAAAAATTTACTGTGTCTGTAGTGCTACTTCTCAGCTTATGATTAATTGGTACCGGTACTTATATTTTCAAAGTAGTATGGAAAAAGAAGTATAGACATGGTCGCAATCCTTGCAGAATTTTTGCGGAAATTGGTCATTTTGGTGGTAATATTCTGCGCAGAAGTTTGAAATTTTGCATGCAGAAAACTACGATGTCAGTGTTATGTACTCTGTTGATGGATGGGTGTGGAAGGGTGGGGAAGGCTGAGAGAGACAGTCATATTCACCAGCATTGTGCTTGACAGGACTCATAAAAAATACTTTTATTGTCCATTGTATCATGTGCAGCTTTAAGACAAATTTCCATGTTTATAGACAGATTGAGTAAATCTACATGTTATGCATTAAGTTGCGTTCAACTATGACAGCCAGATGGAGCAGAGGAGATGACCACATCTTAGCAGCTGGACTTACTGTACTCGTTAAGAAGTTCAGTTGCTGGCTTGTTCCATATGATGTCTTGGAACATCTGCATGTCCAGGACAGAATAGCAATCCCTTAAGAATGGCGGCACAGTGACAGACTTGAACCATTCCTGTTCCAGCCTGTACTTTTCAGGATATTGCTGTTTCCTGGTTCCCTGGAAGTCATCTGCAAACAGAAACAAAGTGGGATTCACACCTGCATCTACCATTGTGACTGATTCATCTGTGAATCATTTATATTCTCCAGACCAGAAAAAACATACACTATTATGTGTTTCATAGGATTGCTGTACCTCACTAGAGTAGTAAAAAGACAATATTGTATAACAGCACACAGTACATTTGTACTGTTTGTACATCCACATTTACACAGTAGACTGAGCACTGAAGTTGGCAACCCTACAGTTTAAAGACTCAATTTCGGTTAAGGCATTGGCACTTTACAATTTATACTTGTAAATGCTTCTCTTATCAGGATGTGGCACAAAATCATAGCCTGACTTGGCCTGTGCTACAATTTATAATTAACTTGCAGTTTTCCTGTCTTTCTTTCATTACTGCACTTAATACTCAAGGGACCACTGTTGTGTGGAAAGATTGCATGTATGACTGTTTTCAGTTACCCCGCCATGTAGGCAGCTGGTATCTGCTTGTGTAGGCCTACATGTACATGTAAATACATAAAGGAGAAACGGCTCTGCCAACCACACTGGATTCCAGTCTACATAGACTGACAGGCCTCTATACAATATAACAACAAGCATTATAAATATTGGTGATAGGGTGCCCCTAGAAAATATGTAAAAAAGGATTAAATAAAAAAAATAAAAAAATAAGCAGACAAGGAGAAAAACAAAAAAACCCATTGACATTGCCTCTTTGACTCAGTCGGTTTTTAACTACAGGAAGGGCGTTTGCACAACACAGAGCTCTGTGAACGTTGTGAGGGCTGTGTTCAACACTACCTACCACTTTTACAACCTTTTCCACCCGACTCCAAACTCCTGTAAATCAACAACCCCACTGGCCCCCGTGAAAGTGTGTGGCCTGACTTTTTATTTCATCAAAAAAAAAACCATTATTATAAATCATGCAACCCCCGTGGAAAAAAATGAAACATAATACAGTCGAACCTGCACTGACGGCCACCTCTATAAGACGGCCACTTTCCATTTCCCCCCTTGCGTTTTTTCTATATAATTTAACTGTGTAAAACGAGCACCTGTCCAACGCGGCCGCACTATTTCAACACCTGTTTTAGACGGCCACCTTAGTGACTCCATTACGTTTTGCAATAAATTGTGCATTGGCCCCTGGCATTGTGGGCGAGCCGTCATAATTCAATCACCTGTCGTTTTTGTTAGGTAGTCCTTCCAACCGATCATGTTGCGTAGGCCCCTCTCACTGTTGACCAATAGCTACCAATTTTCAGCTGCTGATAAGGTAAGCGTGTGATCGCTCATAACCCAAAAGCCCCGCCCAGAACTCATACGCAAATCGTAAGTGAGATGAGTGGTAACTGTTTACCCAGTCTGTAACATAACAAAGTAACAAAGGACGTCAACATGAACTTGTGACAGAAGCGTCGCTCGTTCTCCCAGTGGTGGCGACCCATGTGTTTGTTTTAACAAGGCACTCGGTCTTCCTCGTCTGATACATTTCATTTTATTGTCACCCTTGTGCAAAATCAGCAACAAAATAAAAATTACAAACAAAATACAAACCAACACCACCACCAACAACAACAAAAACAACAGCAATGCGGCTACTTTCAATTGGGACCTCTGACGGGAATAGTTTGTTTTCTTCATCTTGATCAGTCCTGCCTAAGACGGCCACCTGTCTTATACGGCCACTTTTCTCCTTGACAATGTGTGGCCGTCTTACACAGGTTTGACTGTATATACAGTAAAATCCGGATATAACAGGGATAGTGGGACATATGACGGCCAAGGCGCTGATGACAGCTTTATCTCGCTTCCTCTTACTCTTACTCACTAGGTCAATTGCTGGTGCATGGTACCAGCATCTTGCCAGCACATCACATTGCCTTGCTTCGCAGACGACACAGCGAGAGCTATCACAGCATTATCATCCATATCGTCACCCCCACCCTCCACAGACTGCTTTTTAGCTGTCTACATCGTGTATACTAGTCAACATTGGCTAACGATTGTCTGTTGCTAAGATAAGTGGGCACAATACACAGCGCCGAATCTGCAGTCGTTTAGTTTCAGCAAGTTGTACGCAGCTGGGTCAGCTACAGGTCAGTCTACATGCACTCACTCCACACACGGGGTTACATACCATGGCAATTCTACACACTTTTGTTTCAACGCTCACCAATGACAACAGAGCTGTCAACATACACAAAGCGTTCCATCAATGAGATTTTACTTTTAATGTCTAGTTTGTGAAAACGCACAAGAAATATCTAGAATAGTATTTTAGCAACAGTTGACTGAAGACAGCCGTCATAGTTGCGGTAATGAGAATAATGTACACCCACTTCAAAGTTACGTAACTGTCACAGTAGTCAGTGAAATTCACTTAAACTCTCTCAGAGTAAAGACAATACAAGTGGGTATCCCCATTCCAAAGATCATTTCAGTCGCGAGAGTAATCCATTAATTTGTGATTTTTTTCTTGAATAATCAATTATAAAACATCTTTTGTTATTTTTTGTTGTTGTGCAATACAACAAAACAAGCATATCTATGGAACCATGGATGTTTGCTCAGCGCATGCAGCCTCGACACATGCAATGTTTACGCTGTCTGGAGCAAATGTGCGCTCATTGTATGATGTAGTTTCTTCTTTCTGAAATGGCTTCGTCTCGTTATTTAGCTCTTAGTATACGGCACACAAGTTCAGCCAGCTCACAGCATCACTCGATTGTGTACATCCATAACATAAATCTACCAGGTCCATCTTACCTGTTATAAAACTTATATTTACTGCTTGGATCATTCATTTCTACCCTGTTTTGGGTTAATTTTAATTCAAATAGGTTAAACAGGGACAGAGATATAGATATAGGGAGGTTTGCGCTACTGAAGGAGGAATAGTCTTCCTTGCGTATACTAAGAGTGAATTTTTTTAATAGATTGGAGACAAACTGACACGATATCCAATATAGGAAAACACAGTAATCTTTTATCGTAGTTTGACTGTCGAATGTTCACCCTAAGTGTTCGCCGTGTCTGACCAGATCTCGAGCTTTTCAAAATGTGGACGAGGTAAATCTTCGGGGGCATTTCTGGCATTGTCATCCGGTCTTTTATTTTATAAATGAATAAAACAATACTTTTGCAATGTCGCACGTGCCTTAGGCTTTCTTTTCAGCCGCATTTGAATTAAAGTCACGTTTTTACACCCACAAATGAGGCAAAGTTCATTCAGGGATGAGGTATGTTTCGTGTGTTTGTGTTCCATTAGTAGTTTTCAGCCAACTTGTTAAAAATGATCCATGGGCTGACGGATTTTTTCCCTAATATCGTTAGAAACGTCCGATCAACAAAGATAGAATTCATGCACAGGAAGCGCAAGTGTCTCCCCAAAATAAAAACTATAATCTTTGAAATAGATAGAGAACTGTAGAACTTAAAAGATCTAAAAAATATGGACAAGAAAAATTAGATACAAAAAGGCTGTAGCAGAGGCTAAACTTGTCACCAAGGAATCTAAGAAGGAAGCCTGGACACAGAAGTGTGAGGGACTCAATTTACATCAAGGTGGACGTGAAGCTTGGTCACTTCTAAATAACCTCACTGGCGAAAAAAGGAAAGAAAACCCCAAACCACTACACACAGAAACCGAAGTTCTCACCAGCGAGTTAAAAAAAGCCAAACACTTCAATAAACATTTTGCCTCCATTAACAAAAGCAGCAACAGGAATTACCTGGACAGGGGTCTACTGAGTGTTTTGAAAGGAAAAAACAGAGACTTGATGACACCGAGTATCTTCCAGGACTTCTTAACTAAGCGAGAGTTGGACTGCAATCAAGAAACTGAAGAAGCGAAAAAGCCCAGGTCCTGATAAAGTACACAACGAGATGCTACAAAACCTTGGTGAAAAAGCCAAATTGCTACTTCTTAAGCTCTAGTTTTTTAGGGTCATTGGCCTTCTTTCCTTTCTTTAAGACTGGGTTTAGAGTAGCTAGTTTCCATGTTTGGCAGATTTCCCTCAGTCCATCTTCTGTTATACTTCTTAAGCTCTACAACAGAACATGGAATGAGGGAAATCTGCCTAAAGCATGGAAACTAGCTACTATAAACCCAGTCTTAAAGAAAGGAAAGAAGGCCAATGACCCTAAAGACCACCGCCCAATATCACTCACGTCCTGTATTAGCAAGCTCTGTGAAAGAATCCTCAATTCTCGTATTTATTGGTGGCTTGAGTCTTCAGGTCTGATATCACAGTGTCAAGCAGGGTTCAGGTCAAAAGGCAGGACAGAAGATCAGCTTTTCAGTCTTACACAAAAAATCATTGATGGATTTCAAAGAGGGGAACAGGCAACGGCTGTGTTTGTGGACCTCCAACAAGCCTACGATAGAGTGTGGAGGAAAGGACTTGACTACTCTTAAAACTGCAGAACACGGGAATCAAGGGAAACATTCCTTATAGTTAGACTTATCCAGACCCAGATGGATGAAACTCTATCTTCAAAAGCAGAACTTGAGGAAGGACTCCCACGGGGATCTTCTATCAGCTGCACCATATTCCTTGTCTTCTTCGATGATGTTTCAGATGTTCTCAACACAGAAAAAGCCCTTTTTGCTGATGACCTGGTCCTTTGGCA